GTTAAAATGTATACAACCCAAAGCAATCTACACACTTAATGCAATCCCTATCAAAATACCACCAGCATTTTTCACAGAGCTAGAATAAACAATCCTAAAATTTGTCTGGAATCATGAAGGATCCTGAAGAGCCAAAGCAATCTTGAAAGAGAAAAGAAAAGCTGGGGACATCACAATTCCAGACTTCAAATTATATTACAAAGCTGTAGTGATCAAAACCACATGGTACTGGCACAAAAATAGACACATAGATCAATAGAATGGAACAGAAAACCCAAAAATGAACTATGTGGTCAATTTATCTTTGACAAAGCAGGAAAGAATATCCAGTGGGAAAAAGACAGTCTCTCCAACAAATGGTGCTTGGAAAACTGGACAGCAACATGCAAAAAAATGAAACTGGACCACTATCTTACACCATACGCAAAAATAAATTTAAAATTGATTAAAGACCAGGGCTCCTGGGTGGCTCTGTCAGTTAAGCATCTGCCTTCTGCTCAGGTCATGATTCGGGGGTCCCTGCTAAGCAGGGTGTCTGCTTCTTCCTCTGCCCCTCCCCCCACCCACGCTTTCTCCCTCTCTCTCTGTCTCTCAAATAAATAAAATATTTTTTAAAAATGGATTAAAGACCTAAATGTAAGACCTGAAATCATAAAAATCCTAGAGGAGAACACAGGCAGTAATTTCTTTGACATCAGCCATAGCAACTTCTTTCTACATAAGTCTCCTGAGGCAAGGGAAACAAAAGCAAAACTAAACTATTGGGACTTCATTTAAATAAAAAGCTTCTGCACAGCAAAAGAAACAAACAAAACTAAAAGGCAACCTACAGAATGGGAGAAGATATTTGGAAATGACATATTTGATAAAGTACTAGTATCCAAAATATATAAAGAACTTTTAAAACTCAACACTCCCAAAATGAATAATCCAATTAAAAAATGGGCAGAGGGGCGCCTGGGTGGCTCAGTCGTTAAGCGTCTGCCTTCAGGTCAGGTCATGATCCCAGGGTCCTGGGATCGAGCCCCACATTGGGCTCCCTGCTCAGCGGGAGGCCTGCTGCTCCCTCTCCCACTCCCCCTGCTTGTGCTCCTGCTCTCACTATCTCTCTCTGTCAAATAAATAAATAAAATCTTTAAAAAAACTGGGAAGAAAACAAGAATATACATTTTTCCAAAGAAGACATCCAGATGCCCAAAAGACACATGAAAAGATGCTCAACATCACTCATTATCAGGGAAATATAAATCAAAACTACAATGAGATATCACCTCAAGCCTGTCAGAATGGCTAAAATCAAAAGCACAAGAAACAACAGGTGTTGGCTAGGATGTGGAGAAAGGGGAACCCTTCTGCACTATTGGTGGGAATGCAAACTGGGGCAGCCACTGTGGAAAAAAGTATGGAGGTTCCTCAAAAAGTTAAAAATTGAACTACCCTATGATCCAGCTATCACACTACTGGGTATCTACCCAAAGAATACAAAAATACTAATTCAAAGGGACACATGCACCCCCATGTTTATAGCAGTATTATCTGCAATAACCAAATTATTGAAGCAGCCCAACTGTCCATCAATTGATGAATGGATAAAGAAGTGGTATACACACACACACACACACACACACACACACACACACTGGAATATTACTTAGCCATAAATGAATGAAATCTTGCCATTTGCAACAACATGGATAGAGCTAGGGGGTGTTATGCTAAGTGAAATAAATCAGTCAAAGAAAGACAAATACCATATGATTTCACTCATATGTGGAATTTAAGAAACAAATGAGCCAAGGGGGGAAAAAAGAGAGAGAGAAGCAAATCAAGAAACAGACTCTTAACTATAGAGAACAAACTGATGGTTACCAGAGGGGAGGTTGGTGGGGGGAATGGGTGAAATAGGTGATGGGGATTAAGGAGGGCACTTGTGATGAGCACTGGGTATTGTATGGAAGTGTTGACTCACCATACTGTACACCTGAAACTAATATTACACTCTATGTTAACTAACTGGAATTCAAATAAAAACTTAAAAATAAAAATAAATAAAATACAAATCAGAAAAAAATAAAAAGAAAAGAAAATCCTAAAATTCAAATTGTATTATTGTAGTGTAACTCTGAAGGTAGAATGATGGAACTAAAGTTAGAGAGCAACAATGCCTTTCAGGGGTTCAAGCAAAGTTTAACAAGATATTAGCCTGGGAAATCCAAAAGAAATAGAGAACACTTCAGAAGTAGAATAAGCAGGTTTCAGTAGCTTGATTTAAAGACTACAAGGAGAAGAATAATTTATTAATGACATTTCAGGCATGAGCTATTACTTTATAAACAGTCCAAAACAATGTTTTGCTGTGTATGCAGCATCAGATTTGCCTTAAAGATCTATTGGAATTGCTGGCAAGTCTGCAGATCTTAAATCACAATGGAAATGGCCAAGGCTTCTGAACATGATGGTTTATATAACCTCTAAGTTATTCAAAGTTCTTTACAAGAAAGATATGTGATTTTTCTATATTTGAAACAATAGAAAGTTATTTCACTTTGACATCCTTGTAGGTCATCTTCTGAACTTTATCCTAATGGCCTTTGGGTTTGCTTTATAAGATAAAGATCTTTATTTTAAAAGTCACTTTGAAATGAAATACTGAAAATCTGACATCTTAAAAGTGACTTGCCACTGTATACAACGGTTCTGATTACAGAACCAGATCTATATTTAGATTTTGGAAGATAATTTATAATTTGACAATGCCTAAATAAATACTTTGAATAAATCTTCAAGCCTGTGTTTTCTTCTTTTAATCCTTATATGAGGTACCTTTATTTTCCATTTCTTCTGCATTTTCTGTTATCTCTCTTATACTATTTAATTCTCTCCCACCCAAAGCCAAGGTTATTAAGAACACAAGTATGAATAAAAATGGGATATAACACTCTGTGGTCTCCAGTGCAAGAGCAAAGGATGAAATTGTGAGGCTATTTGGGCCAGGAAATCCAGGATTTTCTGAATATTGTCCCACAGACTATAATTATCCTTTCATATATGATCTTCAAAACATATTATTTTGCAGGAGTTGCAATTGCTATCAAATGAGAGGCAAGATGATTTCAGGCTGTGGAACCATATAACTCAATGCATAGACTTACTGCACTATGCAAATTTGTTCTACAATACTTTAGGCCTAAATAGCATCAAGTTCAAATAGGCCACAAGATCACTATGTCTTTTAAGAGTTGAACATTCACCCAGTATCGGGGGAACAGGGATGACAAATTGGAACATGGTGCCAATATTACCATCACAGCCTAATTCCAAGTAGGTGATCAGGATGAGATTGTGAGATCTCAACCTCTTTCCATGGAGAAACAATCCCTGACCTCTATTACGCCATTCTGTAGAAGGGAGGAAAAAAAGAAAAGCAACACCCATGAATCCTGCCATTCAAATATTTAGTGACTCCCTCATTACAAATGTAGACCAAACTGTTCCCTACGATACAACCAACAGAACAGTGCCCTCCCTACTCTGAGAACAGGATGCCAGTGGGAGGATGAGTAAAGACACCTCTAATGCAAATCTTCTGACCCCACATCCCTGCTGTCTTTGTTACTTCTCACCAAAACCAGCTCCTATACCTCATTTAACTGTTAAAAATACCACCACCACTACTAGACTCATTCAAGTGGGTTGTGGGAATAAAAATGAAATCTGAGGGAAAATGTGTTTATGGAGCTGAATGTGTCAATTATGTTGATGTTGAACCATATAGCGGGCTAATGGTAAGCCCTGAAAGACAAAAGAGGTCACTTTTTATTTTGCCCCCTCCTCAATTTTTACATTGTTTGAATCTGTGTTCTGCTTTAGTGAGAAACACATGGCCTTATATTTACTTAATTATTTTTCTTCCTTCCAAGGAATTTGCTTCATTATCTCTCTCTTAAAGTTTACATTTCCATGTAGATCAATTTTTTTGCTTCTTAATAGAAATCTAGATGCCCCCTCTGATATGTAAGATGGAAAAAATTCAAAATATTTGAAACACCTATAAACAACTAAATATTTCAGAACTATCACTTAGTTGGTAGTGCTAAACTATAATTATTAAAAAATAAATCATAGTGCCTATAAAAACAGCTCTGCCTGTCCTTTTTTTTTTCTATTTATGAAGAGTCATGGAATATTATATGGAGCAGATGGGGTAAATCTGAAAGAAGTTAAAGAAGATATTTTAACATTGGGGTCTGTAACGTATTTGTGAAGGTTTCCTTCATTTACACCTATTTAAATAAGATAAATCTTGAATCAATTTTTTTTTCAGTTCTCATGATGCTAATAAAAACTCCTGATATCCAATGATGCAGTAATAGTGATAAACAGTCTTTACAGAAACTGATGGGGAAAAGATAAGATTTCTCTTCCAAATAACCTTTAACAGCAACATCACCAACAACAAAGCAAAGCAAAACCTAATATTTACTTTGTGAAAGGAATATCTGCTAATACCACTAAGGTTTCAGTACACTAGAATAAAAATCACATGTTTAACAATATTTGACTTTATATGCTTAGAATAAGCTCAGTTCTATGGGTGTCATTTTGTTACTATGGCATATTTGGACATAATGTGGACATATTTTATTAGAAAAAGAGAATACTAGTAAATAAGACTGAATGAAGATATATTACACATTTTTTCTTCTTCCCAAACCATTGCTAGCACATTTCTGTCTCCATTTATTCTATTTTCCATCTGTAAGAACTAGAACTCTTAGGAAATATGTCTACATATTTTATAAAATTCTTATAACAGTAAGTGTTCTACTGAAGAACAGAAATACTATTTATACTATAAAATAAAATATATCAAAATAAAACTACTCATTTTTACTCTTTTTTTAGCTCATCGACACAATTATGTGATGCAAAGTCCCAAATCTAAGGAAGTTGAAAACAGACTGTAATTGGTTTTATTGATTTGTGACCAATATTCTCACCTCAGGAGCTTCATAATCTCAATTTCATCCTGAAAAACACAAGAAAAAGATGTTTATTTGGTAAGTTAATATATCCCTGCTTTATAAAATCTAGCAATTTTATTTCCACTTTATTTCAACTCTCTCCAAAGAAGCAGAAGTTAACTACTTTTGCTGATCCCACATGATTTCAGCACTTGTTTTCTTTGAGATATTATTATAAAATCTCTGAAGACAGAATATGTTGTATATTTATAAGTAATAGCAAATCAACACAATAAAAAATGTATTCGTTCTGAGGCCATACATCTTTAATCCATTTTTCTATTTTAAAAAATAAAAGAATATATTATTCTATCCGCAAAATGATAGTCTAATAATATAGATTTACCAATTTTGACAGAACTATTTGACAAAAAACATAGGTTTTGTTGCATACTGGTAAACAACAAACATCTTTGCTCATCCTACCATAAGTATTATTATCTACTCAGTGTTCTAGCTCTGAATTACCTGGGTTGATTTTTTTTCTGTGTTTATTTTATAACCTTTTAAATTATATTCCTTAAAAACACCACTGGTCAGAAAATGATAGTTCTAATTAGTAGCTCCTTATTGAAGTTTAGGCCACATACAAGGAAATACTCTTGATAGAAAAATAAACTTACCAGAACACAAAATTTAAAAAAAAGATCCATAAAGTCAAATGTATCTCTATTTTCTAGTTCCAAACAACTGCAAATAAAATGTGAAAAATTAGAGTAGAGTAATATTAAAAATAAATAAGAAGAAGTTTAACAAAGATGTAAAAAACTCTAGCTTAAAACTAAAAAGCATTGCTGAGAGAAGTTAATCCATGACATATTAAATAAATATGTCATGTTGATGGATTGGACGACTTAATATTATAAAGACGTCAAATCAGTCTCTATGTTTTAATGCAATCTCAATCAAAATTTCAACTCATTTTTCTTTTGACATGTCTATCCCCAAAGTTACATAGAAATGCTAAAAATCTAAAATAACTGAAACAATCTTTATAAAAGAGCTGACTTTTCACAGACCTACAGTAATCCAAATAGAGTGTATCAAAATATAAAGAGACAAATAAATCAATGGAAGAGAATAGAGTCCACAAAAAAGTCAACTGATTTTCAACAATAGTCTGAAGGTATTTTATTAAGGAAAAGAATGCTATTTCAACAAATGATGCTACAATACCTGGATACATCCATGAAAATAAATGAAACTTGAACCCTACCACTCAACATAAAAAATCTATAAAGATTTATAAGAAAATGTAAGTGAAAATCTTCAAGAGTATGAAGGTAGTAGGCAAAAATTCCATAGAGAAGACACACAAAATATTAACTATAAATGAAAAAGATGATAAATTGGATTTCATTAAAATTAAAAACATTTGTTCACCATTAGGAAATAGTTCATAATATATATAGAAATACAAAGGAATTGTTTCTGGTATAATTAAAAAAAACTGCAACAAAACAATAAAAAAGAGAAATCAACAACACCAAAGGCACATTTCAGGAAAGAAATAATTGAATTCATTAAAATTAAGAACTTCTACTCTATGAAAGATAATGTCCAGAGAATTAGAAGATAAGCCACAGATTAGGAGAAACCATTTGCAAAAGCAAACCTCTGACAAAGGACTGTTTTCCAAAATATACAAAGAACTCTTAATGACCCAGCAATTGCACTCCTGGGTATTTACCCCAAAGACACAGATGTGGTGAAAATAAGGGCCATATGCACCCCAATGTTCATAGCAGCAATGTCCGCAATAGCCAAACTGTGGAAGGAGCCAAGATGCCCTTCAACAGATGAATGGATAAAGAAGATGTGGTCCATATATACAATGGAATAACACAGCCATCAGAAAGGATGAATACCCAACTTTTACATCAACATGGATGGGACTGGAGGAGATTACGCTAAGTGAAATAAGCAGAGAAAATCAATTATCATATGGTTTCACTTATTTGTGGAATATAAGGAATAGCAATGGAGGGCATTAGAAGGAAGGGAAAAATGAAAGGGGGGGAATCGGATGGGGAGATGAACCATGACAGACTATGGACTCCAAGAAACAAAGTGAGGGTTTTAGAGGGGAGGGGGGGGATGGGTTAGCCCAGTGATGGGTATTAAGGAGAGCACGTATTGCATGGAGCACTGGGTGTTATATGAAAACAATGAATCATGGAACACTACATCAAAAAACTAATGATGTACTGTATGGTGACTAACATAACATAATAAAATAAAATAAAATAAAATAAAACAGTAACAAGGAAACAAATAATCCAATTAAAAATGGATCAAAGACCATATTGAACACCTCACCAAAGATAATATACAGATGGCAAATAAGCATATGAAAATGAGCTCCACATCTTATGTCATGAAGGAAATACAAATTAAAATAAGAATGCAATACTGCAACGCTGATTTTTACCTAGGTAATGTAAACAGAATGTATGAGGTCATTCCAGTTGGAACGACCTGCAGCAGGGCACGTCAACCCTAAATAAAGAGAAACGGTGCTAATAGATTATTTTGAGCAAGTATATATGCAGAGACAAAGAATGAGTCAGAAGGGAAAAATAAACAACTACCACAGAAAAAGAGAACTTTGGTCTAAGATAGTACACCTGGAGTTCTGGCTGTCAGTGATTTTTAAAAAAGTAGCTCCTATTGCACTAACCCTACTACAAATTGCACCTGAAAAACCACATGTTGAAGATATCATAACTTCCATCAACGTAGGTACCTGAAAGAGAATGCAGAAAAGACCTTCCACTGACATTTTTGTGCTTCCAGTGCTGTTTGGGACTTCTTTCTTATAGTACTTACCCAGTAAAGAAAGAGGAAGTCATGGGATGCCAAAAAAGGGTTGGGGAGGAGAAAAGAAAATATCTGTAAAGTAATCAAGAAAACACCAGAAAAAGAACTATCAACAAAGCAACTTGATTGGGATTCTAGCAGGAAGATGGAACATTCTGGGAGAGTGGCCTCCTACAACAAAAGGTATTCAACATAATGAAAGGTATGAGTAGAGATTGAAAAAATGTGAATATATGATACATATATTTTAAATATAAAGATAAAACAAAACTGTCTAAGAAAAATCCCATGAAACCATAGTTCAATTCAAAGGAAACTAAAAATGTGGATGTTTTGTCAGGGAAGTCTTCTCTAAGAGGACGATACTTTACCTATGACCTACATGAATAACCATGGAGATTTCAGGAAAGAGTATTTCAGGCATAGGTTATAGCAAATACAGTAAATACTAATATAGTAACAAGCTTGCCATAAAATGTGCAAAGAAATAAATTTATAAAATGTCGGGATGGAAGACCATAAATATGGGCTAGAATAGCATGAGATGATGTCAAAAAGGTAGGAATAATCAGATCATGAAGAGCTTGGAAAGCAAAGTAGGGTATTTGGTTTTTATCTGGTGTGCAATAAGCAACCATTTGAAAGGGTTAAGCAGGAATTGATATTTAGAGAGAGTTACATGGTGAATTTTCAGTATCTATTGACTAAATGAGATACTCTCCTGATGTCATTATAGTTCCTACTGTCATTCAGGCTCTCAATATTAGTCATATTTGATGCTAGCTATTCTGCCTCACATCTAGTGAGTCACCGTATCTTCCAAGCTAACTCTAAAAAAATTTCAAACTCTTCCACTTTTTTCAAACCTTATTATTGTTTTACTGGATGAGGTTCCCATTATCTTTTTCCTGGGTTATTCTGCAAACCTTATGTTTACACTCAGAATTTTCCCTGTCTAATTTATTCTGTTAATGCAACAGGTCTCCTCAGAATCTCTCCCATTCCCAAAAATTACTGGCTGCCCGTAGTATCCAGATAGTTCAGAAACTATAAATCTGAGCCCCTCTGCAGGTCATATCCTGACATCAAGCTTTGACTCATTAATAGAAATACCTCAGGGGCACCTGGGTGGCTCAGTCGGTTAAGTGTCTGCCTTTGGCTTGGGTCATGATCCCAGGGTCCTGGGTTTGAGTCCCACATTGGGGTCCCTGCTCAGCAGAGAGCCTGCTTCTCCCTCTCCCTCTGACGTTCCCTCTGCTTATGATATCTCTCTCCTCTCTATCAAATAAATAAATAGAATATTAAAAAAAAAAAAGAAAGAAAGAAATGCCTCAAGTGCTGCTCAAATATTGACCTGAGATTGGGGTCAATATTTGATCAATGGTCAATATTTGTGATGTATTGTCCTATGGTAAAGAATAGGAGCCAAAGGGTGAACTGTACATGCAGACAGATTTCAGCTCAATACGAAAACTATATTTTAGGGAAGTAGAGCTACTTAATACTGGAAGAGATTGTCTCCTGACATAGGAGACTTTAAGTACAATTAATTGAGTGATGCTATGTATGCAATAATATAAAGGTCATCCTGCTTTATGAGAAAGATTGAATTAGATTAGTTGGATATTTTTCCTAATTACATGTCATTGAAACTTTTTATAAAACCTTAAAAATTCAAAATTCCTATTTTAGAGTTAAGAAATAATAAACGATGCTGTTCATAATGCTCCCAGTCTAGTGTTTTCATTTTCTACTATTCGGGGATTACTTAATTCAAACAAAAAGAAAAGAAAGCAGGAGAATTCACAAGAATGCTGTGATGTGTGTGATAACATATTATCCACAGTCTTTGAGCTCTTTGAAGATAAGCTGTTGAATATTGTCACTACATTATTATTATAGTTAGATATAAATATGGGTTTAGCATCTTGTCAAGATGATATAACTTTCAAAAGAGTGCAAACTGAGAAATTCACATGTACAATCTTAAAGGAAGCATGCAAGATTCAAAAGATTAAATAAAGCAAAAGATACTGTATTTTATCAATATGTACCCTTTTCATGGAAATAAATTATAGAGATACACATAATTAGGTCAATTAATTTAAAAACTAGGTTCGAGTGCCCTTTATTTTATGTAAGAGTGTTTGGAGTGCTTCTGATGACCTTAATTAAAATAAATTAT